CTTGGCTGTGATCTTTCAAAAACTTAGTTAGAGGATAGCTTGCAGGATGAAGATGTTTGTTATTTTGGCAGCTGTCATTAACATAGAATGCATTTGGCACCAAATAGTATACCATTGGTTTTGAGATTGTCCTTGTCAACAGTAAAAAATAATTGAATTCTCATGTATTGATGGAATTTTATAGTGTCTTGTAAGTATTTCTCTCTAAAGAGTACATGGAAATTGTGAGTACATGGTTTCATAGTTTAATCACATTCTTTTTGACAATGGAGAGAAGGCTGTTTCTGAACTTAGGTTTCAGTCTAAAGCTGAAAAAGAAAAATCTTGGGGGTTGTCTAGCTCTGTGTTGGTACTTTAGCTATAGCTATCTCAGCACATGTAGAATTTCTGGTTTTAGATTTTGAATGCTTTATAATAATATTTTAGCACCAAAGACCTGCAAAAGGATGCCATCTTTTGATGGTATCTTTTGATAAAGATACCATCAAAAGATGGTAAAGTTGAGCTTAGTTGAAGTCAGAAATCAGTGAGTCTGTTCATATTCACACTCTTGAAAGATTGATGCAGCTAAGGGATCAAAGTGCTTTTCTTTCTTCTTCCCACCCTGTACCCCAAGCCTTTTGGATTTATAAAGGTTGATATTTAAGTCAAATACATCTAAATATATGATAATTTTTTGTGTGTGTGAGTGAATTTGTTCTTTATAAAGTGCAGAGTTTCTGCGGTGAAAAATAGTTTTATTTTTGGAAAATCTATGCCTACATATCCATTTCCTTAGCAACTTTCCATGAAACAAACAGCCCGCTCTTCCTCCTTCCCAACCAAAACAAACCTAAACTGGCTTATTAATTTAGGCAGTTTTCCCATGAAAAATGGGTTCCATGTCTCTGCCACAAGCATTTGTAATCTGTCAGGTTCCTGAAAAAAGTCCTCTTGCAGGAAACACTAAAGGACATATTCTAAAAAATACCATAAGTTTGCAGTGATGAAGTTGGTGATATTTTTCCTCTGCAATTGTTATATTTCAGTTTTACAGGGTAACAACTTTTGTGCTCTGTTATGCACGTTTGTTCATTGTATTTGATTGTCTCTGTGAATTGCACAGCACAGTAAACTGGTGTGTGTATTTACACTGGGCAAAGCTATCCCATCAGGAGAGGCAAAGGAGACAAAACTGGCCTTGATTTCCAGCACAATGCAAAACAAAAATATTGCTGGTTTGAGCAAGTTTTTACACCTAAACACAATTTAATGCTTCTCCAAAATATAGCTCTTTGTAGCACGGGGTGTACCAGTTGTGCTATAATGTAAGTTTATAAAGTTTATATGGCTTCACATGATTGAATCCTTTACAAATAAAGCAGTGAAAGGAGTTGCTAAGTATCCTGCAGGAACCCAGTATCAAGTTTACTGATAGTCATATTGACTGTAGCCATGGTCAGTTCAGCCTAATCATTTCAGCCAAGAGCTGACAACTCAGAAATTAAATCTTTGCTCTCTGTTTTAAAAGGAAACAGGACTGACAAAACTTATGACTAATCTTCTCTTTTCCATCTGTTTCCGTATACCTGTCAGAAAAGATAATTGTTCTGGCTCCTATTTTCCAATATTCTGAAATCCACCAAACCGCCCTTGCTGTAACACAGTGTATTTCATGTGTTCTGTTGACACTGATGACTCTATTGCAAAAGTACAGTAGTGAATATAAACAGATCTATGTTAATTTTAAGGTCTGCAGAAACACATGACAAAGGAATCAATTCTAAAGAGGAAAAGGACAGATATTGTAATGTTAGAAGTTTTGTTTCTGGCATTTGAAGGTGACACTTTGGGTTTACTTTTTCAAATGAGAAGCTAATGCACACATCCTGGCTTTCTTTGTTTCAAATGCATCTCCTTCCAATCCTTACAGCAGTGTCCCTTTTCCTCAAGAATGACTACTCCATACCTGGGAGGGCTTGTAAGCATTGTGTATTCAGTGAAGTAGAGATCTGCGACCCAAAGTTTGATTGTTGCCTCTTTAGGCAGTTTAAGTAACAGGCAAAGAGTTTCTGCTGTCTGGGTCCAAGAGGTTTTAAGCTTTAAGTGTGAAATCAGTACATTACTAATAGGATGATACAAATTTGATTTCACCTGCTTTCAGCCAACAGAAAATATTACAATCTAGTCTGCTGAAAATGTCATAATGCCTCCCTCAGTAACTTCCCTATCATATCTGTGACTTCCATTTGAACCATGTGATCTTGCTCAGAAATGAAGTGTCAGTTGAAAAACTGGTGTGGAGGAATCCTACAAATGATGTATTCCAGCAGCCGGTCTGTTTCCTGCATTTGTAATTCTCTTAAATATCTGTGTTTTGAAAATTGGATGTACTTTTTTGAGGGGGATAAAAAGATCTCCAGAGCTGTGTCTGTTTCTGTATTGAAGTTTTGCTGTGTGTTTTGGGGAGTTGATTTCACATCCCACCAAGTCAGCGATTCCTGAGTTGGTTTTGTGCCTTTTGTCAGTGGGGATAGTTAAACACACTTGATAGTTAAACAAGCTTAAATTCTGCTTTCAGGCTTTTTTAATGATGCATTCCTTATAGTAATTTTCAAGTAGTAAATTTAATTGCTATAGGAAAGCAGACTGTTACAGTTTGACGTAAAGTTATTTAACTTTCAGGAGAAGTTCTTTAAAAATGTTGCATTTTCACATTGTTTGAAATTTAGACAAGCTTTTCTTTGTTAGGTTGGATGTGTGAGAGCCGCTTGTCTGCTCGAGCTCCTTCATGCGTTTCCAGGGCATTTCCACACAAATACGCTTAATCAGCTTTTAGAGGGAGTCTGTTCTCTAACAGGAATTCCCAAGTGAGCTGCAACTTTGAAATGAAAAGGAGGAGAGGCTTTGAAAAAGTTATCAGGTCTTTGAATGAGGAAGAGAGGATCTCAGGTGGAATACTTCAGGAAAAGCTCCTGTCCTTTTTCCATGCTGGCTTACGTCTCTGGTTTAGACTGAACATTGTATTGCAAGAGGATTCAATAGGTTACTGTTAGATGTGTGCTCTCTTCCCCTATCGCCAGGCTTTTGGGCCTGTGAAGTCCTCAGTTGCTATTTTTTCCTGTAGGTATGCAGGGAGATATTGAATGGATGGCAGTAAAAAACCAAGTGTCTGAATTGTGAGTTGTGAGAGAAAGCACAGAGCTTGCCTTCCCAATTGCCCTTTTAAAACTATGTGTTAATTTAGATAATAATTTGAGTGTCTTGATTTTTTTTAATTTTATTTTTCTTCTGGAGTACTTGGAAAACACAGTAAGGGTTAGCTTGTTAGGACAATGTGTTTTAAGAACTGAAGGAGTGAGTGAGAAAAGCAATCTCTTTAACAGTCTCAGAAGTTTGTTCCTGTTACTTAGATGCTGCAGCTTTGTTTTAGGAAGATGAGAGTGTTGGTTCTTGAATACGTTTGTAAATTGAGACATTCATCCAGCTTTCTTTTCACGCTAGGTGTCAGTGTTAACTTACCTGTTCTGTAATCTCAGGTGTAGTCATGCTATTGTCCTTGTGGATGCACCTGTATTTAGTTCTCAGTTACAACTTCTGGTCAAAAGGTCAAGACAGTAATGGCAAATAATGATTTGTGTGTTGACTCTTAATGGTCTGTAAGTATTTATCTTGTGAAAAACCTTATCTTTTTGCCCTCGATTGCATCAAGTAAACCTGGAAGAACCAGCTTGGTCCTTGTTAGAATGTCTGCTACAATCTTTTCAGTACCCAGATTTCTCTTTCATCTTAGTTTTGACTAAGACAGCCTTGAAGGCCTGAAAGATAGTGGGTGGATGGTAACTGCATTATTCAAAATTAAATCCACTGGGATCATCCCAGTTGGGCTTTCATCCTCTCAAACTGTAAATAATTAGCTGACTAGTAGTAATTCATATGGTGTCTCATAAGGTCATTTGTTAATGTGTTACTTGAGCATATTGTGAGATTATTCAAAGGCATGTGGCTATTTGCCTTGTTTCTTTTGGTTTACAAAAGTTTTTTTAAAGTTGCCTGTGTTTCATCTGAGGCTTTGTAATGCCGACCATAATGTAAATATCCTGGTGGTTGATACTGATCTCGGGTGTCAGGAGGTAGGGTCACTTCTCTGCCTGCAGCTGTGACAGTAACCACAGTCTGTCTTCTTGGATAAAAAGCCTCAGTGAAGGTATTGTGTTTAGTAATAATAAATAGTGTGACATGATGAGCAATGAAGTAAACACTGCTCTTTTTATCTCTTTAGCTTCTGTAGTACCTATTACTTTCTTACTTTCTTACTTTATAAATTAACAGTTGTTTATTTACATTATTTTTAGTGTATTTTTATTTCAGGGTTTTAGCTGTGAGTTTGTTACACTGTCCTCTCTTCAATAACACCTCTGTTCAAGAGAGGAGGAGCTGCCAAGTTTGGTATTTTGGGACCTTTAATTCAAATGAGGCAGCAGTTGAGTTTGAGGCCTAAGGCTTTACTGAAATGTAAGCACAAATGTTTTTCAGGCAATTTAAGTTTTTATTGGAAGAGTAGACATACATCAAACATATTGGTGCTATTTTTTCATAATGAGAAGTAGTACACATCTAAAATAAGATGCTTATTTCTTGTAGGTTGCCAGAGGACAAGGCAGAAGCAGTGGGGCTTGGTAGGATTGGTTTAGGATTCTTGTAGCCAGGAGCTTGCTGGCCACAGAGACCTGCACAGAGGTGAAAATGTTGTAGAGCTGCACCCTGTTTGGAATTTTTTAATCTACTTTTTAAATCTACTTTAGCTTCCATTTTTGGATATATAAAGAAGGGAAGTATTGCCCTTATGATTAGAATAAGAGTATGTTTTTTATACAAAGTTTCAAAAGACAACACAGCAGAATTTGATTGTGTAATTTGCCTTTTGTTTTTGAGTGATGCTGTAACACAACTGAGCAAATATATTTTTCTAAGAATAGTGAAGAGAAGCTAGAGTTTTCAAATTATTTTTTTAATTTTAGAAAGCTGCACATATGCAGAAGTGGTAGCTGCTGTTGATGTGAACACTCTTGCCAATGATGTTTATAAGCACAACTTTCCCAGCACGCCGTTATGGGCAAAGACTATCGAGGTGAGTAATTAATGTGTTTTTTACTCTAGTCTGGCATTTGTAAGATGTGAGTTGCTTTCACTGTCTTTATTAGTAACAAGAGAAACAGAAATGTTATTATGAATAAAGCAGTTTTACAATAACTTTGATTGCTTGTGCTGTTTGCTTGTTGAAGTAACAGGGATTTCATACTGCAGGCTTTTCCTGAAATTCTTGTGGGTACCATGGAGAAAGGTTATATAAATGTCTAGGGGAATGCTTACCATCAGTAAAGGAATGTCAAAAATCATATTTTTAGATTAAAAAAAATATTTTCATGTACTTCGAAAAAATTAAATTACTTGGGGGCATGCCTTTGTTTTGAAGTTATAGTTGGGCTCAGAGAAACACAACAAAATATACTGAACTGATCACTCTTGAATCTTTTTAAATGGGCTCAGTAGATAAAATGTTTTAGGAATTCTGTCACTTGCCAAATTATTTGAAAAATAAGTAAAATTGGATTAAAATAATCTGTTTTAATAGATGAGAGGCAAGCTAGGCATGGTTTTGCTTGGATTGAGTTAGAAATTACTGTATGCTTCTTAGTCTGCTTTTACGGTTTTACAACATGACAGTAAAAGATGCTGTGTCTGTTTTAAGACGGCAGCTTAAGTGAGAGTTAAATAGGTGGCTAAAGGTTAAATGCTTATTCAGCACTCAATAATAACTGGTTAAATGATAGTTTTACAATGGAAAAAAAAGATTAATCTTTGCCTGTATCATTTTATAGTAGACAAGAGCAGATTATTAGTCGGTAACACCTTCTTCAAATATAATGGAAAAAAATAGCAGCTTTTGTCTAGTTTTCTGGGTAGCTACATTACATTTGCTGTATAGGTATCCCTCAGAATATGTAAGGAGTGATTTCATTGTCCAAGCCATAGTTACTTGATCATTCTTTCCTCCCAGCCCCTTAATGTGTTCATCTTTTAGTGTTGGTGAAAACTTAGTGTAGAGGAATTTCTAATTGTGTAATTAATTCCTACCACAGACTAATTCTTTCTTTCTAAGCAGGATTGGCTTTGTAGAGGAGAATTTCAGCCATACAGTACCTTTGACTAATTTTTATAGAGGAAAAACCATGAAATAAACTTTATAGGGTGCATTATCAGTGAGCTCCTAAGAGCTAAACCCCGTAGTTTGGACCTGTAAAAATTATCATATTTACTCTTGAACTCCTTTACTTCTCAGATGTTTTTACACATATTTTGAGTATGTAAAGACTGGTTTTGATGTACAAAGGCTTAAATCTGAGTAATGACACTTTATTTTCAGGACAAATAATAGGTGAGTATGTACTGAAAGAACCACTACACACCTCAAAGAATGAGCAGATAGAAACCTCAAGATTATGTATAAATTACATAATGTACTTATTAGTATTAGTGTTTTGTTTCATATGAAGAGCAGTGAGTGCATATTTACATTTTGTGGTTTGCCAGAGTAGAAAAGATTTTAAAATTACTATGTCAAGTGAGAGATGGGGTCGTTTTTTGCTAAATGAAGGATACTGGAAGTAAGAGGGGTAGTTTGGTCTGAAAGATGACTTGAGAATTTCATACAATTCACAACACTCAACATTATTTTTTTCTGTTTTCAGGGCATAACACTGGAAGAATTTGACAGATTATCTTTTGATATGATTTTGATGAGTCCTCCCTGTCAGCCTTTTACAAGGTAGGTACGCACACTTGGGAAAAAGTGCAGTTATTGTGCTATATGTGGTCAAAGGAGAAATGTTATCTCGACATAGTGACACTATGTGTGGGTGATCTGTGTATCTTTCTCTTCCTAAGCAAATGTGTTGTAGCTCTGCTCACCATGATGTTTACTGAAGTGAAAGAAATGCAGCAAATTGCGTCTTAATTGTTGACCACATTTCTTGCATATGTATATATTAATTCAGTTTAAGTGAAGTAAGCCTCTTACAGCACCAATTTTGTGAACTGTATTATTCCTCTAATAGTAAAATTTAGTGTTTAGGAGTCCTGCCTTTCCTTTTGGATATCAATCTAATGTTTTCCTGGGGCAACTCCAGAAGGAGGATTGGAATTTCTTGGTTCTGCCTGAGACTTAAGAGTGTAATCTGGTTTTATTTGTACTTTGAAAATTGCACATGCACACAGACAGTTTATTCTGAAGAATATTTCTATTTTAGCCAAGACCAGAAGGATAATGGCTTTGAAATTATTTTGTGGATGATAAAGAGAAATATCTTGCTGATTAAGGACTGAGTTTATTGAGATGTTATTTTTCAGATTAATTTGTAATTCATTTCATTTGACAGCAGTGACCAGTGGGGTGAGATTCTAGTAACTGTACACACGCAAAGTAGTAGCTTCATTAAAAAAGTCTGTTGATGGTGATAATAATGGTTGTGTAAGAAAGTATCTCTCATTGAATGTTCTAAACTGAAAAGCAATCCCTGTAAAGTGTTGCTGATCTGTAAAAATGAATTAGTGCAAACCTATGATGTATATAGGAAACATTTCAGATTTTTTTCTTTATAATATGATGAAAAGAAAAATCTGTGTAGTACTGATTAATTTAGATACATGTTAAAGCTCTTCTGCAAAGCTTTTATTCTTTTTTTATGAGGTAATACAAGTATAAGCTAGGGAAACACAGGCCTGGTATCATTATCATTTTTGTAACCTACATAATCTTTCCAGTTTAGTATTACCAATTGATTCCAAAGTTATTCATGTGGGGCTCAATCCTGCTAAATGGTGAACAATGAGGCTTTAATTCGTAGAAATAATTTAATATATTCAGTGCAAAATAGCAGGGTATTCCCAGAAACCCAGTGGGGGGTTTTTGTTCATTCAGAGCCAAGTATGTTCAAAGACTTTGCAGGACAAGACCAGAATGCTAAAGCCTTTGCAGACTGGGGAGTGGATTTCATTACTGAATGCTTCAATTTTAACCTTGCTGTGAGCTGATGGATTGCAGGGCCAGACTTTCATTCCTTAGAGCATCTCTCAGGACACTGCCTCTGTGAGCAGCTCCTCCTGTCTGTACGTGAGGCTTTTGCAGAATCCCCTTTAGAAACTCAAATCAAAGTGTCTGCATTCTGTAGAAAGATGTAACTCCAATGTCAGTTTGCTCTGAGTAATACACCGCTGTTTCTTTATTCTTTCATAGAATTGGCCGGCAAGGTGACGTGTCTGATCCACGGACTAAGAGCTTTCTCTATATCCTGGATATTCTCCCAAGGTAGAAACTTCTACCTCCATTGTAAAGCCCCTTTTATAACTAGGCTTTGTTATAACTAGGTCTACTATATTTCATTGAGACAAGATATCTGTAATGTTTTAGAGGGATACTACTACTGTTGTGTTGTATTCTGTGTTTGTTTTCACATGATCGTATGTAACTTACAAATACTTGTATTTTACTAATGCTCTAATCACTTCATTGTTGCTGTATATACTTTCATTATCCGGTTTCCTTTTCATTGCATGTCTGTTTAAGCTGTGCCTACACAATAACTGAAAAGAAAGAGTTTTTTTCAGTTCAACATCAAATTTGCATTGATTTTATATAGAAACAGGAGTAGGTAATATAATCGTTTGTCTATTGGACTCATGGAAACATGAAAGGTTTTTAAAATATTGGGTTACAAAAGCTTAGGTTAAACATATAGTCATCTTTTGAAGTGTTACCATTTGAAAATTGGTTTAAGTATGCTATTGACTGTACAATGCAATGCATCTTGCAACCACTTCTTTCTTAAAGTCTCTTCTTTTTGGTGCTGCCTCTAGATATACTGGGGCAGATTGTGTATTTTTGGTTTGTAGTACCGTCTCTTGTTTGGAGTACTAATACTAAAGAATTTGAATAGCACTGCATTGTCTGGACATTGTCATTGAATTCATCTGCTTTTTGCCTGGTCAGATCCCAGTTCATAATAAAACAGCCATAATTATTTGTATTAGTGGCAGTCTTGCTTCACCTGGAGACTAGGACAGCTTTTCCCGATGTATTCCTCCATTAGTTCATCTTGCTGTCAGGATTGGAGAACAGATGAATGTTTGGCATCTCTTTTACTTTTTTGGTGGGTTTTTTTTTGTTTGTTTTGTTGGGTTTTTTTGGTTTTTGGTTTTTTTTTGTTTTGTTTTGGTTTTTTTTTTCTTTTTTTTTTAATGAATGCTTTCAACATAGAAGTAAGTCAGTGCCAAAAAGCCTTTCTTTCAAACTGCTGTTAGCACTGGGAGAAAAGAGTCTTCATCCTTGTTCTAGAAACTTTATGCAGCCAACAACATTAAATGGAACTGTGTCTTTGCCCTTGTCATGAGCAGAGAGAGAGCAATGACACAGAAGGGCTGAGTGGCTTGGCAGGACCATACATAAGAAATCTGTGGCAGACAACACAGAACAAAACACAGATTCTGTAGCCCAGTAAGTTAGACAATTTCTAGGTAAAAAAGAATGGGTATTGCTACTCCCCTGCTTCTGTCAGAGACACAAAATTAGGGAGAGAATGTGGGTTGTTTAGAAATTACGAAGGATGACTTTTGTGAACGAGAAATGTAACACAGGTTTCCAACTGCTCTGTTAAAATGAAAAATGAAACCTGGCAGATAGTAAGTTAATTTGTCAGAATAATAGTATCTTCCATGTACTTAAAGGCATCTCCTGACCTGGGGATTCCTTTTCATTAAACTGAAACATGGTTAAGAGGCTGGCTGCTTTTGGACATTATAGTGCATTAATATGGAAATACTGCTTCCCAGTTGCTGTGGACTTAGCTGGATAAACAGCAGAAGCTTTTCCTTCTCAAAACCAAAGCTTTAGACACTCCGGGACCTGTATTTTTATCACGATGATGCAAAGGACCTGGGCTTGGCTGTCTTGCTTTTATCTCAACACCCCAGGAGACACTGCTAATGTCCCTTATCTCCTCGGGGAGGGTTCTTGAAGCAGCACTTACTCTAAGTAGTCACTAGAAGGTTCAACATGATGGCTTCTGTAGAGTTTCTCAGTTCCAGTGGATTTGTGTTTTACTAAGATAGCGCTTATGTGTTTTTTGAATATGATACTTTTGTGAGACATTGAGTATGGAGTACTTCAGCCTCAAAAAAGGAAACTCTTACTGTAGGAATTATCCTTTTACATTTTAAATTGCTATGGTATGCATACAGTTTATGAAAAGTGTAAAATAATTTATCATCCCTTGGATGTAGTTAGATTTTGCTCAGTCTTTTATAATAAAATAGTGGTGAAATAAGACTCAGAGGTAGTCTGGGATGACAAATATTAGAGATAATGGAAAGGACAATTTCAAGATCTGGAAAGACATGGGAAATCGTTGGAACACCCAGCCAGAAAAGTCCAACCCAAATGGTCTAGGTACTGTCTGTTTATTGTGTCCAAGCCATAACCCGTCAAAATCCAATGCTAAAACATCCAAGTGCTGCTTTTACAGAAACATTTTTAATGTTAATACCTGTCAAGTACTTAACACTTCCTTTTTGTACAGTGATTACTTGCCTTGTGATCTGTCGATCCCCTATGAGTGGTTGCATTTCAGGCTGTGCTCTGGATTCACTGCTGAAAAACAAGTTTCATAGTAGTCAGTGATGAAGAGTGTGGGTAGACATATCAGTAGAATATTCTCCATTCCTCTGCTAGGAATTTGGCTGATGCTGCTTTTTTTTAGCCTAGTATTACTTTTTCCCCATTATTTTAAGTTTTCCCTATTGTTTTTACTATTTTTAAATTTGGCATAGTTTCTTGAACATTTTCCATTTTCTTGTGAGATGCATTGGTTCTTTTAATTCATTCTTTAATTAAAAATTAAAAATGTACTGAAACAATTTCTGCTGTGATTTGTTCCAATGGAAGTTCAAAGTCACTAACTTCAATAAGCACGAAGCTGCTGTCTGGGGACATTAATATCCAATATGTGTATGTGATTCTGAGGTCCCAGTGTGTGACAGACATTGTGTGTCTACATTAGAGAATTAATCAGTGCTACAGAATGTTCCCAGACACCTGAATCTGAATCATCTTCGCTTCTAAATTGCTGGAACAGTCCCTGGCACAGTTTGGGCATGCTCATTTCTCCAGAGATTTAATATGCTGTTTTTGGAATGTGCCTATTTCCAGACCTTTGCACTGATACTGCTAAAGCTGAGACAACTCCTTCTTCCCATCAAAATAAAAAAGTCAAGTTCAGAAAAATGAAAATATCTGCAGTTTGAACTCTAAATATGTTGTGTACTTAAATCAGTTAAATGAATACTGTTTTTCATGTGTTATCAGTAAGGTTCTTGTGACACTTTGACATTGATTTCAGGTATAAGCACTTGAAAACAACTGTTTTATGGCTAAGTAGCAGCTGGTTTTCCCCCAGCAATTATATTTCCTATTATACACTGAATCTGTTTAATAATATTATTGTGCTTTAGGAAATGAAAAGTGAGAAACATTGTCAAAAGTACATTCATGGAGTACAAGAGGATACAGCTGTTCATCCAAACATAGGGTGGAGTTTGTGGTTTTTACCAGCAGTCCACATTTTTAATTCAGTTGGTTTTTTAAGGATGCTAAACTTTAACAGCTAGCATGATGTGGAAATACTTTGATCTTTCTGCTAGCTAAACAGATCTGTGGATGAATATAATGTACTTTAACTCTTGTTACACTGATTTGGTTTTTTTTTTTCCTTGTAGGCTTCAAAAGCTTCCAAAATACCTACTTTTAGAAAATGTTAAAGGATTTGAATCCTCTTCTGCAAGGTAAACTGTAATTAATATATGCAGGCATTAGCTTGCAAAAAGGGTATATTCTTCAGAAGGAGAAGGGATTTATTCTTTAGAAGGGATTTTTTTTTCCTAGAATTGGAGTTAACAAAATAGCTTGAGATGGGACAGGAATTAAAATCTTAGGTTGTGAAAAGAACTTGCTAGATAAGTGGTTATGTCTCTAAGTGGATAAAACACAACAGTATTTTATTTTTAATTTTATTTGGTGAGTATTTGATTTGATTTTATTTGATGATCATGTTTGCTTTAGAAAAGGTCAGAATCATTTTTCAAAGAAAAATAGTAATAGGTGTTACAATCAGAGGTTTCGGAGGCTTATTCATGACAGCATCCCATGGTATCTTGTGTTATGGTCACAGAATAGCCATGGGGCTTTCTTGAGTGCCTCTGTTGATAGTAGATTATCCATGGTTCAGGGCTGCTATCAAATGGTCCAGAGATGCAGTAAGAAGTATTTAGTCCTGGTCTGAAATGTGGAAGAGGAAAGGTGTCACTACAGTTACCTAATGACAGCAAGAGCACTCTCCTCTCTTGTGACCAAAGCAAGAGAGAGAGTTGCTATCTTCCTTCTCAGTTCTTGCTGAATAAAGTGGGATCTTCCTGTGCACTCCTTAAAGCACCAGCTGCCATCCTGCATAACGCGCTCTTAATCCAAATGGCAGGCAGCGGGGAGACATGCTCAGCTGGTTCGGTGTTCATGGTCTTCTCTTGTAGCTCCCAGGATTCCCTAAGCTGTGCCTTCCTGGCCAGTGCTTGGGACAAGCTGTGCTCAGAAATCACCCTGGTTAGGACACTTGTTTTCTCTTAAGACACTTGGGATGCAGTCTCGCATGCAATGCTGGGTACAGGTCACAGCTCCTGTCTTTTGTATAAGTTCCAGCCTAGTGCAGTCTGCATGGAATACAGAAGAAAAGTCTTTTTAAGATTATTTCCCTTACAGTCTCTTTCCATTGTTTATAAAACACAGACCAACCTCATTTTTATAATCAAAGCCACTGATTTTTGTCATCCCTCAATTTATCCTTTTTGTTAGGCTTAGCCAGTGCTGTGTATTTGAGCAGAAGGAAGTAGTGAGCTATTTGTAGTGGTTTTAATCTCCTGTTTTATGATTCCCAGTAAAGAGAGTATCTTGCCCTCTGATTAGTTTCCTTGTTGACACACCACAATTACTTTCCTAGAGATGGGACATTTTTTGAAGAGGCATTTGCACTGTAGTAAGAGTGAGGTGCCTTCGCATGTATAATAGTCTCTAACACTGAACTTCGTATGATGTCTCTCAAATTCAGTAATGGATGACATATCAATAATTTGCTGTCCAATTATTTCAATGAATGCTTTGGTAAATATGATGTTGAATTTAATCTGTGTTTCTTTAGGATTAAAAAATGGGCTAAAGACTACGTGAAGGGAGTAATTGCTTTTTGATTCCTTTCAGAAATGAACTTTTGCAAACACTAGCAACATGTGGATTTAAATATCAGGAATTTCTCTTGTCTCCAACCTGTGTGAGTACTAAAATTGCTCTAATATTATTTAATAGGTCGAAGTGCACCGAGTCCAAGAACATTTGAAAATTCTCTTCCATGTTAGAAAAGAGAGTCATGCTCAAAGCATACACTTGAATGAGAAAACCAACTGACATGACTTCTAGTTTCTCATACTGACATAGTTATATTGCTGTTTGTGTTCAGATCATAGTCCCATGTTGCTTTGCTGCCATTTGATATTTTTAAGAAGGCATGAATTTCCACTGTAACCAGGAAGGTGGTTTTCCCTGCAGGAGCCTCACTGCTTCAGAAGTGCTGTGCCTCTGGATTTCCCAGCACAGAAAATGTGACTGTTTCTTGTGGGAGGAGGAGCTTTGTTTCTGTGTTACCCTGGCAACTGAAAAAAGTTTGAGAGAAATTTCAGATTATGCAAGACTAACTGGAATCAGTGAAGTACCATAAATATTTGAGAGAAGCTAATAGAATGTAGCTTGAAAACCAATTGTGGTAGATTTATTTAATTGTTAGGTGTTTTATAGTTCTTGTTTAAAAAGGCAAAGAGAGACGTTTTTGCTTTCAACAGGAAACAGATAGTACCTGTCCCAAGTAATCGTGAGGCATGTACATTTTTCTACTTGAATCACATAAAATTTTGTTTACATTCATATTAATTTACAGAGAAAGTCAAAACTATGAGATACAGAGAATAATTGGATCACTTGGATCTTTGTAAGTCCCTAGGTATGGAAGTTACAAGTGTGTGGAGGTATTATCAACTAATACCAAGAGAATACCCTGGAAAAAAGGAGGCTTCAGGGTGACCTAATTGCAGCCTTCTAGCCTGGGCTAGTGAAAGAGAGCTTGGAACTAGATGACACAAACCATTTTATGAATCTCTGATTCTTTAAATACTGATATCTCTGAAGTAATAAAATATATTAGTGTGTCATAGTTCTGTTACTGCATGTAATGGCAGATAACTTGTATGATGCAATAGACCACTTTTTCTCTACTATCACCCGGACTAAAGGCTTCTGAATTTTGATTACAGCTTGGCATTCCCAATTCCAGGCTGCGGTATTTTCTAATTGCAAAGCTTCACCAAGAACCGTTTTCCTTTCAAGCTCCTGGACAAGTGAGTCTATTTATAATACTTGAATTTGCTTCATTTCATGAAGATTGATGGTTAAATTTTCAGTTTAGTGGTGTGTGTTGATGAATGGAGAAGAATGAGTGATTCCAACAGAAGAGTTAAATTCTGTCTCCTTTTTTCAGCCTTGATATTGAGCTTTGTAAGGACTGATGTGCATGCCTGTGGCTTAGATGGCTTTAAACAGTTGGGAGATGTATTTTCTAGCCTGATAGTGGGCTGGGAAACATGTCATATTGCTACATTTTTTACACACTTGAAAAGGTCTTTTTGCAAAGGCAATTATTTTAGGCTGTTCTGACATCATTGCCAATAGGTCTACTAATCTTGATGCTACTGCTTTTGAAATCTTCATGAAAATAACATCTAAAAGTTATTGTGAGCATCTTGGAAGGAATTCTTACTCTCTGTATGGTTGGCTATCAAGTTGTTTATTAAATACAGTTCTTTAATTTTATTTTTGTCATCATTTCCTCTTAGATATTAACAAGATTCCCAGATCAGGATCCAGCAGATTTACTCAAGGAAAAATGTGCTGACAAAGTGGGTGAAACTAGTTCTTTTTTGTCCTCTGAGGAGAAGAATCTGGATCCAAACACTGGTCCAGACTGCAGCAGCAAGAAGAGTTTACCAAAAGGGGCCTTTCTGTTTAAGCTTGAAACAGTAGAAGAGATGGAAAGGAAGCATAATCAGGATAATGATTGCTCTATTCAAATGCTAAAAGACTTCTTGGAAGAGGAAAACGAAGAAATGAGTCAATATTTCTTGCCACCAAAATCCTTACTGCGCTATGCTCTCTTGTTAGACATTGTCAAACCCACCTGCCGGAGATCCACGTGCTTTACAAAAGGGTAAGGTGCCAAGAAAATGTTTTGCTAAATCATGTCCTGAAATTTTAAGTGTATTTTCTCGCTTCTGTCCTGTAAAATCACAGAGAGGTGTTTCATCAAAAAATCCTAGGCCTTTAAAAGAAATCTCCTTATATAGTGTGCTTGCTGGTCCAGTGGAATGCCTGCATGAGAATCTGTCTGGCAGAACATCATGTGCCCACTCCAAAAAGGCATTCACAAAAGACAGTTGCCATTTGTTGTTGACCTTCACAGAAGCTTAATTACCCCTGCGGAAATATGGTTCCAGTAGACTGGTATAGTGCTGATTCATTAATGAATTTCTTTATATTGCTCAATGAAGTTACAAAGTGTCATGCATGACAGATCCATTCCTCATTAAATCTGTCTCCACTGTACATTTTATTGATTTCTTGGATTTTTCAGCTATATAGATCAGAATAGCTGTGGATTGTCATGAAACCAGTTAGGTTGCTGCATTACAAATCATTTGGTGGGGCAGAACATCAGTGCTTTTCTGTCTAGTAGTTTTCTGATTTGCACCTTGCAATTTTAAGTTCGACTTCTAGAAGTTGGTGAGTGTTCTGAAACTCTGTGGACAACTGGTCAGGAACTTTTCCACTGAGTGCATTTGTATTGAAACATTTCAGTTGGAGCCTGCAAATTTGTGGGAATTTTTAATACTGATAAATTTTTCTAATTGGATTGGTTTTTTGAGTTTGCTGAGTGTTTCAATAAGATGTCGTGGATGATGAGGTAAAGCCAAGTGTAACTTTATTTATAAAGAAGAAGAAAAGGAATTTCAAAAGTTTGAAATTTGTGCAATGGGGAAGGTCTTCCCTCAGCTCTCATTGATATATATGTATGTGCCTTTGCTGCCCTCACTCTTTTGAGTTGAGGGGGAGTCAGTATCTCGTGGAATATCTTTCTAAACTAGAATAGTCAAAAAAACCCTTAGCCAGAATGGTGTCTGATGTATTGTCTATATGCCTTAAGTGTCATTGAAAGTAATTGGCCACTTGTGGTTACACTAGAATATGTCATAGTAGTTTGTGGTCATGTTTATCAAAATCACACGGAAGGAGGCTCCTGGGTAGTTAAAATCAAGTCTCTGTATGTAGTGGTGGGAAATGACACGAGGGAAGGTGACTCTTATCCCTCTGCTGATATGGAGGTAGTTGTGGTGGTAGTTCTGTCTGATTTACCATCTTTGTTCTGTTTTTCAAAAGCCTTTGGGAAGGAAGGTTGCCAACATGTTTCTCAATGTAATCACCTCATTTACAGCTCTGCATTAAGAGAAGGTTTATAATTACATCTCATTAAAGTCACTTTCTGAGGCCAAAAATAAGTCCCTGCTGTATCTGTTCCAGATGTTCTTGTTTTTATATTTCTCTGAAGCATGAGATCTAGGAAAGAGACCCCTGGAGTGGGTGGAACAGCACTCCTGGTAGTACTAGAGAATCCCTCTGCTGCTGTGCCTGTCTCGTGTCTGTTTTATAAGTTGCACTGACCCATCAGTTTTGAGAGTGGGAGAAAAATCTCCCTCTTTTCTCTTTGGTTTTCAGGTATTTCTAGCAACGTTCACGTGATGGAAATAATCTGGCTATGCCTTCTCTAGTCCTTTCTAATTCAGGGACCTCAAACACAGATAGTTCATCAGTGATTGTTGCTATACCAGTATGTCTTTTGAAAAGCTTTGGTGGAGTATACAACAAAATGTAATGCATGAGAGATAAGCAGGTAATTCTGTGTGCCCTTCTGACACTGATTTCCTGGGCACTTAGTGAATGATTGCTGGGTTCTGTGAGACTGCCAACACCATGCTTTCTCTTTGGAGTGTGTTTGTGGTGGCTGAAGTTTTGAAAGGAAGTTGAGTATTTTAAAGGACAGAGGAAATGAAAATCGTATCTAACTTCTCTAGATGTAGTTGTTCCGGACATTTTGATATGGTATTGACAAGAGAAGCAATACATTTCAAAACAGTGCAAATATCAATTGCAGTAGAGCTTTCTCACTTTGTGGAAATTACTTTTTGCCAGTCATAATATATGGTACAATATATCCAGAAAAAGTACATGTATGAAATGAAAAGATTTTTTTTAAAGCTTACAGAAATAAAAGAGGTGGGGAATCTTGAATCAGATGAAAATTGAAGACTGTAATTTCTTAAGCCAGCTTCTTTCATTGTAACTTGTAATGAATCTTGTCAGAAAATCAATACATCATTTTTTTACTGTGACAAAATTTAATTATGTTCCAGGTCTAAGGTAGGAATGTTAGCTTTTCTGTAGTCAGCACCTTCAATAATTATAAATAACAATCCAGCTAACACTACAGTAGCCGTATGCCCACATTTGTATTAAAAAACTGAAATGCACACTCACACACACACTCACACACACACGGCCTTCAATGCACACGAACACCAACTGGATTTTTTTTGGCAGGGGGGAGGAGTTCTGTACCCTAGTGCCAGTTATTTAGACAGGAATATTTATTTTTCCAAATAAAACACTTCAATACCGCTCTGAATTTTACCCCATTTATTCATTTTGGCTCAGTTATATGAAACTGAAATATTACCAGGTGCTATATAAGAGGAAAAGGATGAGGATTCCTCAGTGCTGTGTGTATTACATCGTTAAACTTTGTGTTAGGGAATTTGCAGGATTAAAGATTAAACCAGTTAAAGATGATGTATTTACAAAACAGATTCCATGTGTATTTAATCTGTAACAGTGTTTAGGTGTTCTGATCCTGTAGCCCCTTTTTTAAAATGAGTGCTGCTCAGGCAAAACCAATTGTATTTTTTTCAGCCGAGACTGGAGTACTCAAGATTGAGCCACGCTGGGTCATTGTGTCTGTGCTGAAGGGAGAGTATTCTTTTATTCACTGTGGGATTAGAGAGGTTTGAAACATAACTTGTGCCATGCTTTAGGAATGGGTCCCAAGTGGAACAAAAGACCTTTATAATTGTCTTTACAGTTGTACAGATAAAACTAGAGAATAGTGTCTGTTAACAATTGATGCAGACCACATCCCTCTAATGCAGGGAATCTTCTGAAGTTCTTCCACAGGGCAAAGCCATCTGTTGTCTTGACTCACTCTCTTTCTGTTCAGAATGTTCAAACTGCCACAGTTAGACCAACAGAGCATGTTTCTGAAAGCCCATAATTATATTTAAATGATAGCATTGAAGAAACTACAGAGTAAACATGTTAAGCAATCAACCACAAAGCATGCAGAACAGCTATCTAGGTTTCAGTATGCAAGTTTACTTACGGTTTACTTGGATTTAATTTTTTTCTTTTCTTTCTTTCTTTCTTTCTTTCTTTCTTTCTTTCTTTCTTTCTTTCTTTCTTTCTTTTCTTTCTTTTCTTTCTTTCTTTTCTTTCTTTCTTCTTTTCTTTCTCTCTCTCTCTCTCTCTTTCTCTCTTCCTTCCTTCAGTGTAAAATCCACAAGCAACCAGAAGTTAAACCTGACTGAAGCACTTTGTTCCTAATGCTTTGACATGAAAACTGCAGGCTCACACTAGTGGTCCTCCTTTTAAGAAGGAGAGCTAATTTGAACCCCTGGGACCATTTGACCTTTAACACATTTTGCCCTAATGTAAAATTGGTTTAGGCACTATAGATGGGGGGTTTTTTGGTGGTCCTATGCTTGAATTCCTTGGCTTTGTGTAGTTGCCATGTATGGGACACTAGTGTGGCTAAACCCTTGAGCACCAAGGGCAGACCCATCCCCAGAAAGCACATTCAGAGGGTACTGCACTCCAGGGGTTAGCAGCATTTATAACAAGGCTCTCTGCTTTATCTATCCAAGAGACTGTTTGTTCATCAAGGGAAAGAAACCTAAGTAACCTCCCTGCACCTTTGCAATTGTCAATGCCATGAAATACAGTGAAAATGTTAATTTAAATTGTTATTGTTGTTGTTAAGGTATGGACACTATGTCGAAGGGACCGGCTCAGTTCTGCAGACAGCAGTAGATGTACAGGTAAGTGTGTAGTCTAACATTTTGGAATGACTTGTTTTAAAACTTGAGACTTGTTTCAAAGCTTGGGGTTTTTTCTGTCTTGTCATTTGTTATTCTGAATATTATAAGAAAATAATCCTTTAAATGTACATTTTATGGCAACTGAGTTTCCAGTTTGTGTTCCTAGACAGGAGTTTGTTTAGACCAAAATTATATCTGTGTCTATAAGAATATAAGTTGCTATTACTTTTATCTGTCATGTCATACAGAGGTTTCACAGAGGTATGTGAAAACCTTAAAAAAATACTAGTTCCATGGAGAACCTACAGTACAGTGTTATGAATCAAGGGCTGTTTTTTGTATGCATATAATTCAGTAAATATTGTCAGATGTTTAACATTTCTGAATTTCAAAATTATTATTTATTTGCAAAGAATATTTTGAAAAGTTCTACTATTGATAGAATAGTAGAATAGGTTCATGATCAAGTAGTGTTGGGCATTGGGGAAGGTAATAAATGTACTGGTTAATCAGCATTCAAAGATACTTTTCACAAAACCTGTGTTGTACACAAGCCCTTCCTCCTGCACTTCTGTTCTATTCACTGATATTATAGGGTGGTTCTAAGAATAAGAGGAATGCAGCTCTGGAATTCAGGATAATCTCAAAGCAAGAGTATTAAAACAGCTGCATCCACGCAGGTTAATTTGTATGAATGGTCTGTTATTGAGTTATACTGAGGCACTGTCCTTTGTCATTACCAAATATATGCTCTTTGATTGCCCCGTTAAGTATTGGTATAGCTTGGAACTGGAGGAAGAAATTATGAATTTCCTCATGGCAACATTGATTTCTTTCTTGCAGATCCATGAGTTGAGATGTTTGCTGCAAAACCAGAATGCAAATGACACTTTCAAGCAAAATATCCTATTGTCTTTGTCACTTTGATGATTAAGGAAATATTCCATTAAGATGTGTCTGTAAATTTTACATATTTGGGCTGCATCAGTCACATTTCTTGGTTTTGATATTCTTCATAGCTTGAATCTGTGTTTAAACACATTGACGAGTTGTCGGAAGAAGAGAAGCTTATGAAATTGTCAACACTAAAACTGAGGTACTTTACTCCAAGAGAAATAGCAAATCTTCATGGATTCCCTTTGGAATTTGGTATGTGCTGCAAAATACACACTTCTACATTATTCTTCAGAAATGCCAATGCATTTTTTTAATGGTACTAATCTAATCTTATCTTCATCTTTTTATTTTGCATTCTTTTCAAACCACTCAGTTATTTTGATTGATTGATTCTTGTTGTTTGGCTAACTTTGAATTTGTCTACATTTCCACTAGTTTTTTTTTCCATGTTTTGTAAGAGCCAGCTTCTGTGATGAGGTTTATCTTCCTAAGCTAAGAAGAAGGTTTTGTCTTGCAAAATGCTCTGTTAGTGAAGTGCAGTGAAGGAATACCTTTGTTTAAAGTTGAAACTATTTATTCAACAGCTAGTGTTACTCACAGCTGTGGTAAATCAACATATCCTGCTAGCTTAGGAAGTCTGTGGTTCTCAGTGTTTGAGCTGCTTGCTTTCTCCCTTCCACACATTTACAGCTGCTGACAGGGAATTTCAGATGGTACAGATAGTTCTTTGTTGAGGAGTAACAAATCTATTAAGACATCTCTATTTTCTAGAAAGGGCAGCCCTTGGTCAGGTACTTAATTTTCTAGTTGGCTGTTTTTTTGAAGAAGGAGTCGAGGAACAAGACTCAGCAGTATCAGTACACTGGATGCACATCAAAAATAATTAAACATGAAGTAAAGTCATCAGAATTCTCCTTGTAAAAAAGGGCAAATGTGAAAGTGTAGCTGTTACTATCTGCTAAGAAACTGTCCTGCTGACATCACATCAGATCAATTTATTGTCACTCAGCAACAAAAGCATCCATGGAATCATGGAAGGGTTTGTGTTTGAAGAGACCTTAAAGATCATCTATTTCCAACCCCCTTCCACTAGACCAGATTGCTCAAAAAATAAGACATCACTGACCTTGAGTAATTTGTTATATTTTGCTTTGACTACCTCAGTGACTTAGAGTTCTGAGAAATGTGACTTGTTTCTATGTATTTCTTTCTTTCACAGTTTTAGTTTGGTTGTTTTTTTTTTTTCATTTATTACTTGTTATATTCAAAATTGCTACATTTGGAGAACATTATCAAGGTTCCACTGTGAAACTAGAATTGCCAGCACTAAGTTTACATGTTTATGAGTATTTGCAAGTGTGTGCTGTGTTGTTACATACCAACGTGCAGTGTTTTTTCATAGCCTCTCTTCTTTAATGGATCTGTTCTATTTGCCTCTTAGCACAGCTCTGTTTCATATTCATGTAGGCTGATGTCAAGATATTTGAACTTAACACAGCTGGATTGGGCTTGTATAAGCTTATCATGCTGCTCAAGGTCTCTTTTGAGCACAAAATTGCCCATTTTCTCTTTTTTTAAATGCAGCTGGAGTTTTTCCACTGTTAAATCAGTCTCTGCAACATTACTGAGAGGTGCAATAGGGTTAATGTTGTATTTTACAAAGGGAGAACTGAGACAATGGAGAGATTTATGTTTGGAAGACTCCGTTACTTGGGGGTGAGCAGTTCACGAAACCTGACTTTTATAATTTCATAGTGCTTGGAGTGATACCGTGCTTTCTGTTCAGAGCTCATCTGCAGAGACACCTGTGAGGTTCAATATTTTTGCAAACCATAACTGAACTCTGAAGAGAAGTCAGGCTTCTGAATTTGAGGATCATCCAGATCATCACCATGTACAATGTGTTCATTTAGCAGACCTGTCTTTTGTCATTTGGGATTCTGCATCTCAGAGGAGAGTACCCTTTTGTCATAATTATGGCAGTTAGTATTATAACTGTTTTACAGTTCTTGCAGTTCCCTTCCTCTCTATACTGCTTTTCCAACTTTGATGACACATAAAGCAAGCCTCTCTCTCATTCAGTGGTTTTCTCTGGCATATACTCCTGAGTCATAGGCAGAACATGCATTTCCCCTACACTGAGTCACAACTCTGACATTTCTTTGTGTTTAAAACTTCTCCCACTTTTTGCTTAAAAAAGTGTTCCTGGACTCTAGACTGATAGAAATCTTTAATGAATTTAGGTGCTGTTATCTCAGTTTCCTTTGAGAATTTGCAAGCTCTGGATATTTTTTTGAAAGTGGATATATTTATGGCTGCAGCAAAGGGTGTTGCCCTGACAGCATTTCTCCCATGCCAAACTTGAAGTAATTATTGTGAAATATGGTATTTTCAGAGCAAAATGTGTTATAAGTTCTCTGCTACTGTGTTCTGTAGTGACAGCAACATTTAGGCTGAAATTTTCAAAACCAGGAAGCTTGGAATTGTACCCACTGTAAATATGTTATTGGTCCAAGAAACTGAAGAAACTGAGGAAACTATAAGCTGAAAACCGTGTGAACAGACTGTCAGCAGCTTTGTAACAGATGCTGTTACTAGTTCAGCTAAAGTATCATCAGGAGAAACGTGATTGTCTAAATGTTCTGCATTTTAAAAAGTTGATGGCCTTTTCTAACATGTGAGGTCCAGAGTTAAAGTCATTGTTCGTTCTTAACATGACCAGATTTATTTGTGCTTTTAACATCAAAATGTATAAATAGTAATTGCATTATAGTTCAATGAAATACTGCAGTCATTTGTCTTAGTCACTCTGGTGGGTCCCACAGCAATATCATTAAAAGTGAACAGAGCGTTCTTGCACCTGTGACCTGCTTTCATGAGAGTGATGTCAGGATGTGTTTTCCATTTTTCTTATTAGTGATGCATGCAAGCTTTTAGGAAACAAAAGCCAGCATGGTGAGGAATTATGTGCTGTTAAGACCTCAATGTCCTCAGGTACTGTATGTGACATAAATGCTACAGTGAGAGCTGTGCAGCAAGTGCCAGCATCCTGGAAGTTGTTGAATCTGACCTTCTGATGTAGGTCAGTCTGGGGCCAAGAAGATAGAAAGTGCAAAACAATGTTAACAGTCAGAGGGAGGAGGCTTGGCATAAAGGAAATCACGAGTTCTGGAAATTAATTCTTGGCTTTTGGTTGCCAAAAGGTAGAAGGAGAAATTCTGACATTTTCAAGATTCAGATAGGCTTCTTGGGCTGTAAGTGCATGTGTGTGTGTGTGCATAAATACAGACTTATTTTCATGTATGCTTCTAAAATGCCTTTATTCTATACCTTATCCATCGATGGAATGTGAAAACTCCATCTAAGGAAGTGTGTGTGGGAGTGCAAGTGATTGTTCCAAAGACAGAAGAACGGTTGCCCAAATGTGAGTGCCAGGAAGCTGGGCAGAGTGGATGGAGCTGGCAGAAGATGTGTTTACCAAAGCAGTCCACATTTGAGGCATTAGTAACTGGCAGAGAAGGATGGAACAACTCCTCCCAGACACCACTTCCTCCTCAGAACCTCCTTTGGCTCAGTAACTGTCCAACCATCCAACCACATTCTCTCCTGAGCTCTCTCTGGAGCAGAATTTTTTCTGAAGAGCTGTGAAAATTTCAGATCATACATATCACTACTTGCACTCACAATGTGCTTGTGCATCTGAGCTAATTGGGGTGGTGATGACCTCTGAGTCAAAGTTAGGTGTTTCTTCTTAGAGAATGATGAAATAATTGAGTGGGGCCAGGTTTCAGCAGTTTACTGTATGACCCTAACAGTTAAGTCACCACTGCTGTTCATCTTTCACTCAGGATGAAGCAAATGTACTTTACCTCACAGTTGGAGTAAGGTAAGAGTGCAAACAGGGACAGACCAGACCAACTGGCTGCTTGAAACTGCTTCACTCTCAGGAGCTTGCTAGTCAGTACACAGCACAGCCCTTTCACAATACCTGGGCTGGTGTCATTTTTACTGGCTCTCCTTTCTGCCAGGCCGTGCACTTACTATGGGAAGGACATTTCTGATGCTGTCTGTATACCTGAGTGTGTTTAATGGGGTCAGCATTGAACTACATGGAAAATTGTTCAGCTGCTTGGTCACTCACTGAATAAGCGTTGCTCATCGTTTAATCTGTGTGGGTGATATGTTGCACTGAGAGACTTGGGATGTGCCTGAGCTGTTAGAGGGGATCATGTGGGAAGTACAATATAAAGCTTATGGAGAAGTGCAGTTTAGTCCATCTGCAGAAGTGTCACATTTTCTTTCTGCTGTGTTTGTGTTCTTCTGTGGATGTTATCTAGAGTAGCAGTTGTGCAGGGATTTAGTGCTGCTGCCCCTCCCTGAGACTGCTGGATGTTTTGGGCTCTCTGAAGGGAAGGTAGATCAGCAGTAGTTACACAATAGAGGAATGTTTTGAAGCTTCTTGTGAAACCTTAGAGATGGCAGTATTGATAACAGAAGAACTGATACAAATCCAATGAATTGGTTGTGAATTGGTTTTGTAACCTCGTGAATCGTGGGGGGAGCTGGAGGGAGGGTAAATCCTGCTGCAATCTGTGATAACTGCGCTAAGAAATATTCACTGAAAAAAAAAAATAGACTAAAAAGTAGGAACAAACCCAGACTAGTGATGTTGCACTATATGTTTTTGTTTTAGGTTTTCCTGAAAAGGTAACAGTCAAGCAATGCTATCGTCTTCTGGGAAACAGCCTCAACGTACATGTGGTGGCAAAATTGATCTCCATTCTACTTGAATAATTTAGAACCTGAAACTGGTGCATATGGACTGGTGACAGAAAATACTTCCATCTTTTAGGAGAAAGCTGATGGAACCTGGACAAGTACCAGAGCTTATCAAGATACTTGTCCAGACATATTGCTGAACAGTTTTGATATATTTTATTAACTTACATTCATGATGGATTTAAACTGTATAGGTGTTTTATTTAAACGGCAGTTTGCAGGACTTAATTGCTTTATTTAAATGTCATTTTTAGTTTGCAGAATGAAAAATAGTAGCACATGCAAATACTTCAATGAGAAAGGATAAGATTATTTTATATTACTTTATTTAATTTTTATCTTAAAACCATTTTCTCAGTACTGTGTGAAACTGTCAAAGCTGTTTCAATTAGCTGCAGAGATCAAGTTCTATGTGTAAAACATGTTCATCTTTAAACATAAGTGATCCATTCTGAGAAGACTTACTGTATATATGATCTGAAGTTTTGATGTGGTTTTTTAGCTCATGAAACTAATAAATTCAGTATTTTATATACAATTTTTAAGATGTAGTGTTGTTATTTATGGTTGTCTCGTCTTCTTTAAATACTTGTAGAATTCTAAAACCCAACTGTATTTGTCTGGAATGATTTGTTTAGTTGCAGCTGAATGAAAATATTTCAAGATTATCGCAGGCCTGACAATAACTTCCCTGTTTCTCTTCTCATATTATTCAGGATAAGATCATTGCTCCTTACCAAAGACCTACATGTAAAAGACATGAAAAAATTTTCAAGTTCCATGTTTAGGTTCCTGTGACATAAAAACTGGAGAAAAACTATATGGGCTTCTTCTGAAAATTCACAGATCTTGGTGGCAGTACTGGGGTTAGGAGTGTATGTTGAGGTGAAGCCACTGCGTGTGGCTGTCCCAAGTGCCACTGCTGCATAGTGCCTTGTAGAGCTGGACTCAGTGGGTTTGTAATCAAGCCTTGTGAGTTCGGTACCTCTGAAATAATAGAGAAAATGATGGGAAAACTGAGGGCCTTCTGAAAAAGCATGTGCTCCTGTTATCTTTCCTTGGGATTTTCCCATTGCTATCTTGATTAAAAACAGCTTGAATGAGGAAGAGACAAGATAATACTTAGTAAGCATCCTTAGGGAGATTGTGTGCCAGAAGACAGAAGGATTTTGTAGCTGTTCATAGTTCCTGTGCACCTAAGCACTGAGCTAAAGTTGCCACTCCTGAAAATGAATGAGTTTTCTTCCCCCTCTTCCCCCCACCCATGGGATGACACAGGAACAGTCTTGGTATGTTCCATCTGGGTTTGGTAGTGCAGTAGAAAGTGAAGACCACAGAGAGCAAAGCTGCTGTAGAGATACTGTAGCTATTTTCATCTGCTGTAGTCCTGAAAACAATTTAAAAATTAATTTATGTAGATAAATTCACACAGCTTTATCTTATGCTGGGTCCTGCATTTCTTCTTCAGTCTTGATTTGTATGTTGCTTGTGGACTGGTAAACCAGGAAAAGCTTGGGCTGACCTACTTCAGCCTGTCTGATTCTCCGGGAGCATATTGAGCACCTGGGATGTTCCAGCTGTAAAAGAGATATGGAAATGGTTTCTCCTGAAAGTGCTCTGGATAAAGCCCTAGAGAAGGATGAGGTTGGCCTCTGTTCTCACCTGGTCACTTGTAGTACTGAAATGGCAAAAAAGTAATTCTGTGCTGGCTACTAAACTGCAAAGAGCAGGTGTTATTTTGACAGTGAACCATGGTTACCTATACCCACAATGGTTATTGTGTAGATTTATCAGCCACATCAATAACTAATAGCTGTATGGTCTTGTTCTTGGGAGAAATGTGGTAGTTTGAAGATCTACTGCTATCTAATATGTTCCAAATATTGGTATGAAAACAAAGGATATCAATTTGATATATAAATTGGAATTTCCTTCTGCTAGTTCATGTAGTCTGTTCATTCTGCTTCACTGTAGTAATATTTGGAAAATATTACTATTAACAATCTTCAATTCCTTTATGTGTAGAACATAAATTAATGTTTTATATGCCTCTTGTAAGTTAGCAGTGTTGAAGTGTAAGTTGAAATGTACCTAGCTTCACCTAAAACTGATGCAGTAATACAGAGTCTGTTACATATGGATAGTGAATTTTAATTCAATGTGATTATGAAGACTGAATCTGTTTGCTAATTTGAGCTGTTTCTGAAGGAAAAAAATTTCAATAATTCAGAGTTGTAAATACATATTTGTGTATTTTAGCCCTGCTGTAATACCGGTGCAGCTAAATTGAGTGACTGCTGCTTATCCCCTTGGTTTGTTATTAATAGACTGGTTTACTGAGTTCTGTTGGGTTGTACCTGCTTGACCTCACTTGATGATCATGTTGCTTCCTTTTCCAAGCAGTCTTCTAATCCTAGGTACTTTGCAGTGTACATCATTGCTGTACTTTGCAACTTCAGCTTAAGCATTTTCACAGCAACGAAATGTGATTGCAAAAGCAACTGAAAGGTGAAGTAAAATCTGGAAAACAGCTTTGGAAAGGGAGGGAGATTCCCAGAATCTGATTTTTTATTTTGTGCCTCATTCATTTGCACATGTCAATTACATTTCATTATCTGAGTTCCCTTAAATTTGAACATTTCCACTGAGAAAAAGACTGTTCTATTTGGTGATATGTTTATGTAGTCATTGTTGAAGCTTGCAGATTGATGTACAAAAATCTTCCCTATACCAGCTAGTTTTTATCTGAGTTAGTCTGGGGTTTCCCTATACTCATGAAGAAACCTGTCTAGTGGCAAAATTACTAAAATACCATTTTTTTTTAAACACAGTGAGTTTGTAGTTTTTGATGCTTAAAGTGGAAGTGCATCCTTCCATGCAGTAAATGTAAGGCTCCTGCCCAGAGCATCTCACTTTTGACTGATGGGAGAATTATAAGGATTTTCAGGAATCTCTGTATTACAGTCTGGGAAAACGTTGATTGGTGAAAGCTATTTCTTAAACAAGGGAAAGCCCATTTTGGTTTTGTCAGAGACATTTCAATAGAAATCTGAACAGGCCCAGTGCTTCAGTGACTGTACAATTTGTTTTAGCACTTGTCACACATTTCTAAAAATAAGTGGAAAATTTAAAAAATATTTGTTGCATCTCAAAAATGAATTATTCACTTCTCAGCTCATTCTTTGGCTCCTCTTCTTCCTGTTCATATTAAAGTTTAACACTTGGATTCTTGTATAAATACTGAATTATATTTCTTTTCCTTAGCAGTTTAATATATTTTGTCTTCTATGTGTTTACAACCACTTAAGTGTTCTATTTTTTCTGTGAGTTATTTAAAGAATATGACATATTAGTAAGGATTTAGAGGAGATTGAGTAATAATTGTTTCAGAGCACGAGCATTTCTGAGCAGTCTTGTGTAAATATTGTATAAAATTGAACTGATCAAAGAAATACCCAAGGAAAAATGATGTGAAACCATGAGAAAGTAGACATAGAGCCTAAAATTAATTCCAGTAGGCATTTTTCCTTTGCCTGTGCAAATACGAGTATTATACTGTTACAACCTCATTAGGGGAAGTTTATGAAATACAATAGTGATAGTGTGTCAATTTAAATGTTATTGCGAAGAGCAGGACAAGATTTGTGTTGTTTTTGTCTTTAGTAGATTGTAAAATTTGGGCAATTTATATAGCCATTAAAGAAAATAAATAGGGGCCCAAGAGGGCCAGGCAGCCATCTGTGAAGGCAAGACAACTGGGTTGTTCTCTTTGACTTTCCTCCACCTGCTCCTGTTGACAGTGGGAGGAGGCTGCATGAGGAACCTTCTCAGGTAAGAGCTCTGGTGAAACAAGAAGCAGAGGTGGAAGGGTTTGAATCAGCTGGAACACAACACTTTGATTAGTTCAAATATTTGCCCATATATATTTTAAAAAATAAATGAATCTCATTCTGTTTATAAATAATACACTTAAAATGGGATTCTTCTCAGAATTAATATTTTTATAGGCATTTTCACTGTATATTGACCACAATTAACATATGGCATTACTCATTCTTTGCACATGTGTTACAAGGTGAAGTTTGTGGAGAAGGAGAAGATTCGACAAGTTCATGTAAGAAAAATCCTCTGAGGATACTGAGTAAGTAGATTTCGGACTGAAGAAGTTCCCGAGCTGCAAATAACTGGAGGTCAAGAGAGTACCTGGGGGAGGTACTGTATATGCTCACCCCTTTGTGTACCCTTCATTTCCTATCTGCTTTTGGCCACCAGTGGAGGATGACCTGGATGATCCACTGACCTGGAGAGATCTTTTCTGATGCAGGATGATGACTCTTACTGCTTATTTTGCATGGTGACAGAATGCCAGTACTTGTAAGCACAGCCTCAGAACACAGAAAATGCTTTTACAGACATAGCTTGGACTGAGCTGCCTGGTGAAAGCCAGCAGTATAGAACAGAATGAATCTTAGGGGGATTGTGCAGCCAGGTCCATTGATGGCTTTAGGGTTATTAGTGAAGAAGGGTGCTATGCAAATGGAAGTCCCTAAAACTAACTCCAGTGTATGTTAAAGCAATTGGAATGTGTTAAAAGGACTGAAATAATCAATAGAAAAGAATAAAGCAAATACAAACAACTGGAAGCTTTTCAATAACCTAATTGCAAAAAAGAATGAAATGGAGAATAGGAAGCATCAAAGTGGTTTATAGAAACAACAGTGTTCAGGAAGAAAAACCAGAAAGACAGAAGAACTAAAATAAAAGTCTCATAAGGAAAGCAAAAAACTAATGTGTTAAATCTTACTTGTGATAAAGGAATCCAGGGAGAATTTGGACAGTAGATCAATTTCAGCTTAAGTAGTTAACTAAATCAAGACTCTTATCTTTGTCACTTGCTATTAAAAACTGGAAAACTCAATTTCCTGGCCAGGTAGTTTAACTTCATTAGCAGTTAATTTATGAAGTTCATCAACTGTGTTGAGGAAGCAGAATCTTAAACAGTGGCAGAGGGCAGATTGCTGAAAAGAAATCCTTAAGAGGGGTGTGAGAAATGGAGGCTTGCAGCAGCTGCAGCCCCTGGGGAAGGTGCTGTAGCCATAAAACTCTCAAGACACTCATGAAGAGAGGGAAACATTGATGATAGGTGTTTATAGGTAAGGAACAGCAAGGGGAATGTTACTTTTCAGAGTCACCCATGTTTGATGTAAACCCCATGTTTGCTGATCCATTGCCCAGGGCCTGCTACCAACTTTGTGCTTGGTTGTCTGAGAGCTGTAGGGACACATGGGAAATGCTGAGTTCAATATGGAGCTGGGTTTACACCATGAATTTGCACAGTTATGTGGAGGAAACAGGATGACTTCTTATGTTGTGTGTCACTTTTGAACTCTAGAGTGTGAGTATTATTAGATGGAGGAAAGATGAAGGAGGATCCAGGGAACTGAAGACAGAAGTACTGGGAGATGTGAGGACAGCTGAAGAAAGACTCCTGTAAATGTGCTCTACTTGTAATTTAATGAGCAATTGACTGGATTTATA